TCCATTTTTATATGCCGACACGATACTAGTATATCCCGGTGAGCTTAAAATAAAAGATACCACAGAATCTGACACATATTTGGACATTTTACTAGAAAAATTCCTTAATGCTCATCTAACAACAAACGTGATGACTTTAACTTTTCAAACGTCAACTTCCCTTACTTATGCAGCAATTCACCTTTGTCACCTGCATGCGGTGATTATATCTCTCAGTATGAACAATTTCTTAAACGAGGTGAATTATTGAAGAACAGGTTGATGAAGCAAGAAAATCAGCAGTTTCTTTTAAAATCATTATTTTGTAAGTTCTATGGTCGATACAATGACCTTGTCAGCAAATACAATCTATCATTCAGTCAAATGTTGACTGACTTCATACTTCATAACTAACTGTTCGGCCATTATTTTACATAATGCGTTGTCTACGGATTTTTCCCTTTTATTCCTGAACATGACAATGAGCACACGGCGAGTGTGACCGGTCGGCAGGGGATGCTCACTCCTCCATGGCACCTGACCCCGCCTGTGATGTTTTGGAGGTCCGTATTTGCTCCGCTCCTATTTTGTTATTTTAATGGACTTTTGAGCTCGAATACAGTTCATTATCTCCACGTATCTCATCTTATAAATGTATCTGCACATTCTGAATAAGTTAAGGAATATTGCATTTCAAGCAGTGGTCAACTCATTTTGGGAATATGTAGAGAAAGATTTTCAAGTTTTCATTCTCTCCATGGGGCCAAATGGGGGTTTTAAAGTGGTTTTTTTTTCTCTACAAAACCCTGCATGGTTTCCTGAACTCCTCTTGCATTTTTCGCTGTAGTCCCTTTATAATTTAAAATTTTCTGTGATGTGCAATAAAGTTTTGAAATTTAAGTTTTCTCGGTCCAAGTGGTAATTGGAGGTTAAAATTAAAAACAAAGTTTCCTGAACTCCTGTTTTATTTTTCTCAGTGTCCCCATCATTTTTTGGATATTGATTGGCAGTGTAGATCAGGTTTTCGAAATTTCCATTTCAATCCTGGGGGATTTACCAAAAAAATACTTTTTTCATGAAAATCTTACTTTTTCTTTCAGTATATTGGATGTGATGATGGGAGTTTATCTTTAAATGTGCAATAAGGTTTGGAGTTTGGAATTTTAACTTTTTCTCCGTTGCGACTGGGGGTTCAAATAAAAAGAAAAAACATTTTTCGACAATATATCATGGTTCTGCAATTCCCTCTCTACATTTTCCCAAGTAGCTGATTCTTCTTTGGAATATGATTGGTAGTGCCCTATATACGAGTTCATGCATGTACAAGAGGGTCTGGATTTTAATTTCCACCGGGACTTCGGTTTTCTATAAAAGCCTGTTCTATTTTACATTTATTGCAGTATTTCGATTTTCACACTAAGGACGAATGAAGGTTTTTAAAAATAGTTTTTCTTTCTAGAAAAGAAAACCCAGTTTCCTGCATGTACTCCTCTTACACTTTTTGCAGTAATTATCTTTTGGAATTGGTGGTATCCTTTAGATGTACAAGAAGGTTTTGCAATTTTGTTCACAGTTGCCCAATCATATTTTGGAAGAAGTATGGATATGTCCTGCAGCTGTGCATATAGGCTTTGGAATTTCGATTTTCACCCTTGGGGTGATTGGAATTAAAACATTTTGTTTCGTAAATTACAGAATTGTTTTGGCTTCTTCCCTCGTTAACCAAATTTGAAGGCGTGTACATTTAGAGGCAAACACCTAAGTGCGAGCATTACTGTTTAATGACTATTTGTTACCTATCATATGCATACAACCGTTTTACAAATAGTCATCGGAAAATTTCTTCTTCAGCTCGACAATTTTTTTTCACGTTAAACATCTTGACCCATTTTACAAAAGAACTAACGACTACGACAAAAATTTATTCTGCTAATTAATGGTTTTAAACTTTTTTAAAAGTAATGTAAGAAGATATTTTCATGATGGAGATTTTAAACTCAATCACTAATTTTGAAAAATTTTACTATCAACTTAAGCTTGTGGTCTTGGTCGTATGTTCTTTTGTTAAACAGGCTCCAGTTCCATAGTAATTGTCAGGTTCCTGATCTCTCCATGCACTTGTTCTCTATTAGTAGAGGATAGGATAGGGTCCGCCTTGCTTTAATGCAGAAATTGAATTAAACATTTTTCTCCCATCACGCTCTGTTCCAAACTTTTACTAAATAATTAGAAGTGTGGAACACAGATCTGCCTTTCAAAGGCTTGAGAGTGTTATTTCTGGACAAAGTGATTAATTTTCTAAATTCAACAGCACGAGAAAAAGCGAGATCAGAAGGGAGCATGCAGCCGCGTTATATCTACCGATAATTATCAAAGCATGTCTTAAATCTGGCAGACTAAGTTTTGTTGTTTTTCCAAGCAATCTGCAGGCATCCCTTCCTGCATATCTACATGGACGTCTTATTTCACTTTATCACATCCAATGCTCATTGTAATTTCGTCAAATTCAATTATATGCATGTTGTATGCACTCTTCCAGATAGTACAGCTATACTGTTAGAGTGCAAGGGAGTGCGCGGTTGGTAGGTCTTTTTTTCCTTTAAATAATAAAAAAATAAGTCATCAGCCACATCACCATTTGAATAAATTTTTTAATTGTCGTTACAACCGTAAAATATTTTCTCATACTTTGCAGTTATACGTGTCTTCGTTAAGTTTGGAATCGATTGAAATAAAAAGATCTTCATGAGACACAATAAATAACTGTACGTGACGTTCAAGGTGAACATAAGGATTTATTTTCTTAACATTGGTTTACAAATAGATCGGTAAATTCCAAATTGATACAAAAGTTTTGGAACTCTACTTCGTCTGCTACTGACATTTTACTCATGTGAAAACATTAGGGGATGTTATAATTTGGGATGGGGTGGTTAGAGGGGGTGCAGGGGTACAATGTACCCCCTCACCTGGACACTTTTTTTCCTGAACATAAATTTTACTTTTTTCAGCTTTTCCTGATGATCCTCCTTCCTTTCAAAATCTATCCTATAAAAAAACTGACATTTATGGCAACTAAAATATAAATCTAAAAATTTCAAATTAATTCGACTATTAATGTTCATCTTCTCTCTTTGTAACCGGCTAGGACTTCAGCTAATGCAAAAAAAGCTCTGAGTTGTATTATTTAAGCATTGAATCATATAATAATACATGTACAATAAAGACAATTATTGCTGTTTTCTTTAGCCAATACGATGATTTAGCCACCTTCGTAGTAAAATATCCACCTCGCCCTTTGGGCTCAGTGAATATTGTACTCCTCAGGTGACTAAATCATGGATTGACCTCAAAACAGCAATATTTGTGTAATATACATAAGAAATATCAATAAAATAAAGTTTTACAATTTATTAATTTTTTTTTTAAAAGATACAATTGATCAGTGATGAATCAATGACAAAAACAAGCAACACAAAATTAACATGGAGCACCACTGCAGCATGACTTAGAAAAAAATGGAAGACAAATTGAATTAATTAAATCAATCTCCATCAACCATAAAGGAGAGAAGATACCTCAATAAAATAACATCTACATCACGTCAAACTTCAGCTATATTTAAGTAATATTAACTTCACATAAAATGTTGGCAAGAAAAAAATTGATTTCTATTTTTTCTGTAATTGAAAATCCTAAACTAAAAATTCCACTGACAACAACAGTGTTTTGATTTATGTCAAGATTCAAACTATCTGAATGTGGAATCTGTTAATAACATTAATTTGCCTGGCAATTTACGTGTGCTTAAGTAATAGCTGGGGTTGTGAGGAGTTTATTACAGCTCTACACATGGTTCAGACCTCCCGTGAAGGTTATAAACAGTGGCTGGCAGACTTCATAACAACTGTTACATCACTTTGTCATAAAGAGCCTGCACCACTGCTAAAGAATGCATAAATATTAACACAAAATGTAGATCTTAAAAAATGCATAATGGAAAGAATTTAATCTAAAAATCTTATAATGCATATATAATATATATATATTATATGCTTTTCATTTGTCAGCGTTTAATTTAAAATTGCTTTTTAAATACACTGGTGACTTAATCATAAACATGCCTTATTGTATTTCACCCAGGAAAAATTTTCTCAACATATTGCTTTAAATCATAAACAATAATGTACCATTTTATCTTACAAGACAGCTCTAACATTTCCCATAAGCCTGATACAAGCCAGTAATTCTGTGTAATTCTGTGTTGTTCTGGTCTCTGTAGGGGTTTTATACAAGGGCTATAATCAAACCTCTTGTTTTACATTGTCTGACATATCTCAAACATTTCCTGTCCACCTAAAGACTTATTATTCTGGCAGATTAAAATTTAAGATTGCTTTCTTTAATATCATAAAAATAAGGTCTCTTTTTTCTTTCAAATTTTGGATGACCTCTAGAAAATTCCTTTTTATAATTTTGCTGGGATATTTGTATTTTTGACTAACAGTGTAGGTCAACATTTTGTATGATGTGTTCCAAGTTAAAATACTGTAGAAGTACTTTTTTCTGCATGGTATTTATTTACGCTATGTATGCAATCACAAATTTTCCACGGAAATTTGTGCAAGCGTACTTGATATGAATGCAAGGCATATAGAGACAGTCTAAGAAATCCCCGTAATTTTCAACCTGCGGATTAAACGGAAATTGAGATTCCGCAGAATTATGACCCCGTAGAAAAAAGTATGTCTACAGTATGTAGTTTTTGTATGGTACACACATTTTATGACTGCATTAAAGAGATGACTGCTAAAAAGAGTTACATTTTATAGGAAAATTCATTGGGAGGAAATAAAATGACAGAAAAATGACATGTCAAAGGACAGATGACCCGAGTTGAAGGTGATCGCTGTAACAAGTTGACTGTAATCAATTAAGAATTTTAATCAAATATAAAATTTTTCATGCACCAAGCTAACACAGGCAAATGTAATCATGGAACTATATTTCATACATTTCATACAAATATTCTCAGATCAAATTTAAGTTTGAAAAAATATCCCAAAAATCTTCAACATAGAAAAGAGAGCAGAATAAAATTTGGTAAAAAAAAACTTTACATGAAATTTCCATGTGAAAAACACACAATTTTTACTTGGAATTTTTTAAACTTGAAATTCTTAAAAGTCACATTCGACTATGTTATACATGTATGAGTAGTTAAGTTACAAATCAGGTATAATGGGATTAATATTTGGGAAATATACACTAGTTATAACAGGGTGATATGTGAGGGATTGTAAACATACAATGTATAATACATGTGTTTATAACATTATGTTTCAAATATATAATTCAGGCATAAAGAATACAACTTTCATTTTGATGCATAAAATATCAAAACTTGTACAAAAATATTTTATTAATAAACTAATTTTCTTCTCTTTGAGCCCTTTCTCCATTTGTATTTCTATGTATCAAGGTTATACAAAGTCATTATGTTTTTATCTAAAGCCTAGAAAAATATGGACATCCTTATAATATTACTGACTAGGCAATATTCTCCTCTGAGCAATTCTACAGAGATCAATAAACAGCCTTCTCTTTTACAATTCAGCTGTTAAATAACACAGTCTTCTATTTGAAGTGATATACAATATATATTAAATCTTACTGTGCAAATACTGACCAAAATCTTTATATGTTTGGTTGCTTTAAAAAAAGAATTATAATATGATGTCCTAGAAAAAGCAAACAACAAATATCTTAAGAAAATAAAATATACTGAAAGTGGCTTGATCGTACTCTTTGAATCTTTAATAACAAGAAATGATATTCATAATGCACCATCTAAATGCCAAGAGATCATTTTCTCCTGATGCCACATGATAATTCTTCAAATTGACTAGAATAAACAGTTTAAAATTATCACCATTTTATCTCTCATTCCACTCCTACTTTCCAGTCCTCGTGGCTGAATTTCATTCCAAAGTACAGACAGACAGACGTGGTGTGAGCCCCCATCCCCAGACCCATCAGACTGCTGGAACTCGGGGGCTGCTCTACCTTCCAGTCAAAGGTCACAGCTTTATCCTCGACCTCAATACTGACCCTGACCTTACCATTCCCAAGGTCTTCCGTTTCTATGGTAGCAGATGACCCTCTTGTCAGCATGGGTAACTTTGTTTTCATCTCCTGACCATCTACAAAAACACTTCCTGCAAAAAATTCAAAACATGTACAATTCCTTTTTCTTTCAAGTAAGATTCAGAATTTAAACTTCTTGTAATTTTTTAACCACTATCACTGGTATAAATATGATCATCTACTGTGTTCTTGTTTAGACATTTACCTGATGTAGCCACAAAAATCGAGCTGCTCCTCTGTAATGTGTCCGTGTCCTCATTATTAGCGGAGAGACCAATTCCATCAAAGGGCGTCTTCTCGCCAGCATCCAGGACCCGGAACGTGATGGGGAAACCACAACGGTAGCTATTACTGCTGGAGTACAGGACTTCAGTCGGACCCTCAGGTAACCTCGTGGCGGTCTTGTCTTCATTACTCGTACTGTATCCTTCTGTTGTGTTGTTCCATTCTGAACAAAAAAATTGTTACAGTTTCATTTTATTTTTGGTGAAGTTTATTAGAATACATGCAGTAATTTAGTTCAGGTTCATAAAAAAATCTTTTACATATTAACTTGGATCATTGGGGTGTTAATAAGAATTTTAATACTGGTTATATAAATAGTTATTGTAGTGTGGAATGGTTATATGGTTATTTACGGTAGTGTGGAATGTTTATATGAGTATTTATGGTAGAATGGAATCATTATATGAGTATTTACGGTAGTGTGGAATGGTTGTGACAGCTGTCCGGGGGACACTCCAGATGCTCCATTTTTCCTCCCCCTCCGGGCGTGATCTGACCCTGAAGGAGTACGGCGTACTGGTCCTCAGGTGTCGCACCTTACAGGACGTGTTAGGACCGGTGTACGCCGTGTGGAATGTCACGTTTTTGTCTTCGTTTGACTGGACTCGGCCGTAGCAGTATTGTAAACAAAACTCCCCAGCTTCAACCTCCTCATCCACCTGACATTTATAAAAATAGCTATGAAATCTTACCAAGTCTAAATAGAGCTTACATGTATATACCTGTACCAGTGTACATATATAACAATCAATATAATTCAATTCAGAGGGTATCTTATCTATTATTTCCTATGCTGCTTGTAGCACATGCTTTAATTGGTTACAAAGTCGGGTGTAAATTTCCATGCACCGACTTGAGCCAGGGCTAAATAATGTGATGTCACAATGCATATTTTTTCCTATGATAAAAAGTAAATGACATGATGTCATGATGCATTGTAGTACAAAGTAAATCTTATTGATAGGTTGAGACACAGTTGATTGGACTTATGTTTATGAAGAATTTATTTGGGAACATAGGAAATAAATTCATTATCCAAGTCCAATCAAGGGTGTATGGGGATTTACCCCGGGTTTTATTCCATACACCATGAGGTCGAAAGACCCCATACACCCTTGATTGGACCTGGATAACTAATAATCCAAAGGTAACTCATCAGATATTTTTCCTTCAATTTTATATCCAAATCTCACTTAAGTATATACAGCTAATGTTAATATGTTAATTTCAACATGTTTCTCAAATCTCAAGTAATTCAAACAAAAAAGCAAAACATGTGTAACTCTGTGAAAAAATCAAATTTACTGGGTTAATGTTTACTGACAACTTTACCTCTGCCCAGGTAATCAACAGACTTCCTGGTCGCTCCTCTATTTCTGAGATCTGAGCTGGTGCCCTCTCTAGTACCCGGCCCTCATTCTCAAACAGCTGATGCAGTTTGTTCTCCAGGTCAGGGTGGAAGCTGTCCACAGAGAGGTAAGGCACGTCCGCCAGGGAGGGGATCTCTGGGACACTGACAAAAGGTCAAAGGTCAGTCAGTCATAATAAACAATAGTATTATGTTTTGGAATTACAGAAAAGAAAACAACAACAAACTTTGATACTACTGAAGTGCATGTATTGAAATAAATAAATAAGTACCTATGCAATTGCTTGGTGTCAGGATTGTCTTTAAACTTCACCAAGTCCTCAATGTGGTCATTTGGGTTATTACTCAAGATCTTCTTCCCTGGTAATTTTAAAAGATTTCTCATATGCATCTATATAATATAAGTTAGCAAGAGTTTTCTCCCCTAAAGCAGATGTATAAATCATGTGAATGAAGTATATCCACAAAAAAGTAAAATTACACATGTGAAATATGAAAGCATTCAAAAGCTATTGACAATATTATATTTTTTGTGTGGACATACAGACAGAAAGATGGACAGCTCAGAAACTTTATGCCCCCCCCCCCCACTCCACAAATTTTCAGTTTTGTAGGCATAAAAAAAATTACCATCCTCCATAACCCTGGCAGCGGCTGAGATGCCTGAATTTAGCATTGTCTCACAGTCTGTAAGGGGAGATAATGCCTCCTCAGAAACCCTGTCAACTTCCGACAGTAGTTCATTGAGCCTCCGGGTTAAATTTTCTTTTGCTTTTTCTTCTAACCACTTGAAGTGATCCTTCAAACATTTCTTTGACTGTTCTGCACTGAATTTAACCTTTTTAAAAACAGAAAAAGTACAGTTAAATTCTATTAAACCAGATATGTCTAGTGTAAGTTGACAGTTAAAATTAACATTTTGATTTACTTTAGTCGATTTTGTATCATTTAGTAGTGGATCAACTTAACCATTCATGATACCATTAACTCACTATGTTTTTCTTCTTACTTCATTGTAAATTAAATTTATTACAGGTTACATTACATAAATTACATCAGCTCAGTTGAAAAAGATTTTCAAAATGCAGGGGGGGGGAATACTGTAAACCAACTTTTATTCACGACAACTTTATTTCACAATTAACAAGGGGTAAACAAGTTAGCAACAACTAATTTTCACGATCAAGCCTTTTTTGGATCTGTTGTCAATAGACACAGAGACTTTAAAGACTGGTTTGCGGCAAGAAATATTCGCGAATCTGATTATGAGATTCACGAAAATTTCTCACATGCGAATAAAAGTTGGTTTACAGTAGTATATCAAGTGAAGAATAAAAAGCATTTTTGTTCACCTGTTGTTTGGCCTCTAACAGTGAATTCATGGATTCAGTCAGCTGTTGTTGCTGGGAGTGGGCATTATCCATAATATCAACAACATTCTGAACTAACTGCTGGGCCATCTCTAATGGGCAGCCTAAAGTACTCCACCTCAAAAATCTGAAATAAAGTTATAGTCTGTTTTGTTATTAAACTCTTAATGCTACAGTATGTGTTTATAGGAGAGTGGATCTCATGCTATGGCATTGTACAAGGAGAGGAGAAAATTGCAGCAGACTAGATTGGAATTTGAACCCAGACTCCCTAAAACTCAAGTGAGGTGCTCTACCAAATGAGCAATCAGGCCCTCGAGTAATCAAACATGTCTGACCACCACATTCCTCACTCCTTAAGGTTCCTCAACCCCCGAAGATGCCAACCCTATGCTCTTCCCTGGCAGGTTTTTCACCTTCACTTCCAGGGCATGGCATGGCACCAAATGTAATGGGAGATGAGAACTATGCAGTGGACCAGACTGGGATTTGAATCTGGGCCCCCTGAACCCCAAGTCAGCTGCTCTACCAACTGAGCTATATCTGGCCACCGGAGATCAAATGCTGACATCCATAACATTATTTTAATCTTGAACAATAAATTCAAACATATGATTTATATTTCCAAATCATACAAATACATGTACTGGGTTGCATTTTTCTCTCTCTTTGCTTCTTTAATAGTTTAAATATGTAGTATAAATAAAAGTTGGTGACTATTTAGGGACACAAATACCCCAATGATTAAGAATTTTTATTTTACTATAAAAAATACTTTATATCTGTTCATTTTATTCCATTCATTTCTTAAAATTCTTCACTTTCTGGCTTAGAAAAGTAAAATTTCCATCATTGAACTAGGAAAGACAAAAATGTGATTAATATCAGAACATTACTCACTTAATCCCTGCAGAATTTCTGTAAAAGAGAGTGTTTACTGTTTACACAGTTTGCAATAGCGAAGAAGATTCTTTATGCTTCAAAACTATCAATACATGTAGATGTTGAGAATTTTGACTTTAAAAATCATAAGCCTGCCTAATGATCAGATGATTGGGCATGAGTTCTTTGGGAGCCAGTCAAAGCGCCCCCTAATAAAAACGTCCCGGTCAAAGCGTCCCCTAATTTTAGTCAAAGCGTCCCCTGATTTTGGTCAAAGCGCCCCCTAAATATTTTTATAGAAAAAATACCGCCCCCAAATATTGGTCAAAGCATCCCTATTTTAGTTAAAGTGCCCCCTGATTTTGGTCAAAGCGCCCCCTAACATATTTTTATAGAAAAAATACTGCCCCCAAATATTGGTCTAACAGTGTCCATTCCTAATTTTAGTCAAAGCGCCCCCTGATTTTGGTCAAAGCGCCCCCTAACATAATTTTATAGAAAAAATACCGCCCCCAAATATTGGTCAAAGCGTCCCTTGATTTAGTCAAAGCGTCCCCTGGTTTTGGTCAAAGCGCCCCCTATATATTTTTACAGAAAAAAAAAACATTTCGAGTCGATCCCCAAGCAATGGTCTAAACGTCCCGTTTTTGGTCAAAGCACCCCCTTATAGAAATTTTTCAAGTAACTGCCAAACAATGATAATATTATAAATACAAAACAATTTTATTCCGTAACATGTTTGTAAAAATATACTATGGGGCGCCTTGACCAAATCAGGGGACGCTTTGACCAAAATCAGGGACGTTTTGACCATTGCTTGGGGACGGTTCCCAGACGATTTTTTTCTAAAAAAAAAAAAATGTAAGGGGGCACTTTGACCAAAATCAAGGGGCGCGTTGACTAAAATCAGGGGATGCTTTGACCAATATTTTGGAGCAGTTTACTGTAAAATTCTATAAGGGGCGCTTTGACCAAAATCAGGGGACGCTTTGACCGGGACGGTTTTATTACGGGGCGCTTTGACTGGATTTCGAGTTCATTGTGCCGGTGACCAGATACTGTATAGTGGGTTATTTTAGCGGGAAGCCAATTTTAGCATTTTGATGGTAGCCAGTTAAAGTTTTAATCGCTAAAATAGTCAGTGCTCTTACTGTAGTGTTCACCCGCAAAGAGCTGAAACCCTGTGTCTGCTAAAATAAATTACGCTAAAATTATTGGCATACCTTTGGGCTTTCGCCTACATCTGACTGTCCACTCTCAACAGACTATTTCTACCTACATAGCTATTAATAGCTACATAGGTATTCAAACCTACCCAAAGTAGCCATTAATAGCTACTTTCTGAATTATCTGCAATTTGTGCCCAAAAGACCGAACGGTGCAACATGGTGAATACTATATTTTTGGATACCGTCACACTAATGATGAATACGACAAAATTTCGTCCAAAAAATGATTAATTCCTGAATCAGCAATTTTAAATTAGTTTGTATGCAAAATTGATAATTTATGAAGTAATCATTTTTTGGCCAAATTTTTGTCCTATCCATCATCAGTGTGACTGTATTAAGAAATTTTGTGCTCACCATGTTGCGCCGTTCCTGCGTTTGATCACAAAATGCAAGTAAAGCATAAAGTAGGTAAAAATACTACTTTGGGTAGGTTTAAATACCTACGTAGCTATCAATAGCTATGTAGGTAGAAACAGTCTTTGGACTGGACCTGCTCAAAGGATAATTATGGTTCTAAATATGACCCTCTATCAAATAGGTCAAAGAGGACTAGGGATGTGCAATTTTATCGGTATACCGGTATATCGCGATTTTTTGTTGTGTGATACGTATCATGATACGGAGACCTAAATACCAGTATTTAAGTACATACTATAAAGTCAAGAAATTATCCATTTATTTGTTCAATCTTTCAAATTACAATTACAGAAAGTCTAAAAGATGTTGTAAAAGGTGAAAAGAACGGTATCTTACCATCCAAACAAAATTAATTTTGTATAGTTATAGTTACATAATGATCAAAAAAGTGAGATTTTGTTTTTCTAGCATATTTTAAGAAAAATAATGACTTTTCATTCAAAACCATTGTAAAATTGCTTGTAAAAATATCATGATATTATCGTGATATTCTGGGGAAAAAATCGTGATATATCACGATATGAAATTTTTGGCGATACCCATCCCTAAAGAGGACAATTGTAGTGCATTTGAATCACATTTCTAAAAATGTTACAAATTTAGCACATCAGACTTATATTCCAAGGTAGTATCTGAAAGTAGACATACATGTAGGATCTATAGAAAGCAGGATAGGTCTAGCTACTAATGGATGCATCGTATTTTATCTTGAATTTACTCTCACTTTTGAATATCCTAAAGTTTCACCAGAATACCCCTTGATGTAGATTTGTAATGCAATAGATCATTAAAAAAATAAGGCCATCATTGTCAGCTTACAATGTGTATTCCGGTTCGCCTACCTCTTCCTCCAACCACTATGGAGGCGGCCATTAATCTCGTGTTCGGCGAGACTTCAAACGAGATTTCATTTCGTGTGAAAGATTGCACTGTCAACAAAGAAAAGATACATGTAAGTATCGTTGTAAACAGTCAGTTTAAAATTTGGGTTGTAATTAAAAAACTAAATTAAATCATACAAATGGATCACGATAGGTATTTTTAATTCCATAATTTATCTGCAATCTGTTTATTTTTTGGTTTGCATTGTGGTTTTGTTTGTGGTATATTCCTTTGTCACTGTCAGTTCGCAAGTTTGTTTACACAGAGCAGAAATGTGTCCAATATTAGGTTTGCAAGACTGTCAAGCACTTATTTATCGTATAAGATTAGAAACCGAAATTAAAGCGCAATGTGGTTAGATATGTCTTTTAAGGGGAAATCCCTTAGAAGAACTCCACAACAGTGTAGAAAACAATTGACTGGTACCAATGTCTATACTTTAGGCACCAGAATGGGGTAACGTTTAGGCCTATAAAATAAATTCCTTAAATTTATATTTTGTGTACTGTACCACGGATAAATTGTTTGTATTATTATGAGTTTTAACAACATAGGCATCTGAAGCAATTTCAAAGTGGGTGGGGGGCTAAACCAACAAAAAAAAGGTAAGCCCCAATGGGCCAATTTTCAATGCCTATATATTGAATATAAGGGCCTTTATCTATGCTAAAAAAGTGTGAGGGGGCTAGGCTAGCCCCCCCCCCCCCCTCCCCCATCCCCTCTCTATATGAAAAATGGAAAGTCATACTTCACACTTCACAGAGAAATTGTGTTCTTGCATACTAAATCAGAGACTTGAATAAGATAAATATATGATATTGATGTCTCTGATTTATGATTCATTTAAGCAATATATAAACATGTACATAATGATAATTGTCAGCTATAGTTAATTGAATCTGTTATCTACCTCTATTGTTTAAACTGTATACTTAATTAATTGTTACATCTACAAACAAGATGACATGTTTCTATTAATAATAAGATACTACCTTTGTAATATTTCTATAATTTTAACTGAGCTTATGTACAGCATTGAACCTTGTATTTGTCAGCATTGCAGAAAAATTAGACCTTAACTGAAAATGCATTTAGTATATACACAATTAAGTCTATTTCTCAGTATTATTTTACCTTTACTCTTTTATGCTAGTTTACACCAAAAAACAAAATTGCTGAAATGTTTTGTTGTTTTTTTCTTTCGGAAATTTATTTTGAATTTCTGACTTCAGTACTGCCATTAACAATATATTTTTAAATTAAAAAATATTTTGAATTTCAGTGAGCCCTCAGTACCAGATGTCATTAACAAAATTTGTAAATGTTATTTTTAAATTAAAAAATGATTCTCCGGACAAATTGACTGGGAACCAAAGTGTCCGGATAAATGAGGGTCCACTGTATATCGAGAGAAACCATTGCATGAAGATATATCATGTACAATGTAGTTAAATAACATGCTAAACATTATCTTAACTAGCTAGGGTATGACTCAAGATAATCACCCCAAAGCATATTCTTCTGTAATGTTATAAAAACTCTCAACTTTCTATTCAGTGACAGCTTGTAAAATTTAGCTAAAGATTACTCAAATAAAAATTTTCTTTCATCTAATTTGAAAGGCTTTAATGTGCAGTTGTACATGCAAGTATTGATTTTAGAAAAACTTTTTATGCTTCAGTAATCTTTAAATTCTCAACAAAAAAGTGGTACATGTATTCCTTTAATAAAGCTGTTTCATGAAAGATTCTCTCTCTCTCTCTCTCTCTCTCTTTCTCTCTCTCTGTTAATTCCCAGTGTATTGTGTTCCCTGACTGATGGATGGGTCAAATAGTCCCCTCTCTCAATACTGATTACTGTTAGCTTGGTATTTGTTGGCTTGTATTCAAGGATTTTTGACATCCAGAATCCAGAAGTTACTGTCATGTATTTGCAGAGTACCACAAATGTTTTAAGAGCTAAACTTGATTAATATAATCATTAATTTAATTTTGCCTGTCATTGTTAACTATAAGACTGTTTATTACAGAAGGATAAGTGTTTTCTTTGTAAGTCACCTGTAAATGTCTTCCATAATTTTACTTGATTAGCATACATTGTAGTTTTGTTTAAAAAGAAATGTGTCAATTTATGATGATAAGACTAGAAATTATGATAATGAATGAATTGTCAAATAACTGACATTTGTTATTCAGTTTTCAATATTTATTTAGTTTGTATATATTGGAAACATATATAGGCCCATACCTGTATATGCAACTTCTAGATGAATACTATAACTGTATGTAAACATATAAAAACTGTATATATAAATGTCTTGTGATCATATGAACAGGTAAAAAAAATGGATCTGTGGCCATTTCCTGGTGAGAGACAATTGTTGACCTAAAACAAGTAAAAAGATACACCTGAGTGGTTTAAACAGCTGATGGGGGTCAACTGATACCTGGGGAACCTTTTTATCCACCACATACCTTTTTTATGTTTGTTTGTTTGTTTGCTTACCATGTAAATGACACATTTGATGAAATCAGCACCACTGAACAAAGAGGGTGATCCATTTATAAATGTCAGCTGAATGTTTTTATTTACAGAGAGACTGGAGCTGTTAGTCTGTGAAGTGGATTGAAAAAAGGTCTGATGTCACGCAAGGTCCTTCCACCAGCTGTGTCCTTAATCCAAAACAAAATGTAAAGACCATCAGGCAGTACCCAAATAAAAGCTTTGTGTAGTGGCAGACAGGCCAGAGTAATCGGGGGAAATCAAAACTCCTGGTTTTTAAATGTCTGTAGAAGAATAAATGTGTCTTAGGATATCTTTCCCGGTGTCAAATTCACATCTATTGAAGGACTCTTCCAATCAAGGAACAATTACATTGCCAGGACAGACCAAGAGCAGCCCACTCATGGAAAAAGGGGAAAGCTCATATCACTGTGGAGGGGATTATCAAGAGAGAAATTCAGTTTTATGTTGAAGATAATAAAAGCAAAGTTTAATCCAGAAACATTTGAAGGAGGGATTTAGTGTTCTTATCAGGGAAAGGGTATTAAAAAATGTGTTAGTTATATTGAAAATCGTTTTACTGGGCTTTGCTACTTATTTCATTGTTTATGGGGTATGGCGAGCAATGGCCATGAGGGAAATAAAAGCATAGTGTGGAACCCTGACAAACGGACTGCCCCGCAACCTCCACAGAGTAATTCAGACATTGCCTCGGTGAGGGGTGCTTGCAGTGGAGCCACTTCAATAGTTGGTGCTTCCTTACATGTGACAAATAATTCCAGAGGGGAAACATTGCCAGAGAGTGCAGAAGGAAATCACACTCGCTACAGGTCAAATTTTGTTGACAATCGCAGTTGGGTGCATAGCAGTCGTAATTTGCATAATTGTATAAACATGGATCAAAACAATGAAGGAAATGACAGTCGACGTTCACCAGCCAGAGGCAATTATAATTCTAATTTACATGAATCAGTAGGACAAACTAGTGGTATTCCTAGCCAATCAAACCAGACTGTGAACACGGTGACTTCTTCAGCAGAAAGACGTGAAGTCGTAGCAGAGGTGAATGAAACTGACCCCACAGTTCGCACAGATACATCACAGCAGTCAACCAACAATGAAAACATGGCCCCGGGACATTCGATACAAACTCAGGACATAGACATAGGAGTCACTGCAGCACAACAAGAGATGCGTCACGAACCTTTACCCGACCTTCTACATTCTCATGTCATTCCTTCCCATAATCCTTCCTCTCCCAGACAGGTAGGGCAGGGCCACCCTGGGGTTCACGACCCCCGGGGATACAGCCACTACCCCCAGCATCGACATCACTCCCGGCACCACCACAGGTCGGGGCACCGCTCACACCACGGCAGACGGAGACACAGGTCTCGTAGCTCCTCCTCGGTGGAACCCGAGCCGTGTAAGGAGGGATGCCTCTCGTGTTTGGCGGCCACCACCTCATTTCGATGGATTCTTGTTATTCTGTCATTGTTAGGTGTTTGTTGTGTAGTGACTGGGATTGTACTAGCAGCTCTCCATGCCACTGGAAATAGCTTTCTCTTCCTTGCCATTATGTTTATAGGTAAGAACTATTTTTTTGTTTATGTGTATAATTTTTGTGCTCAAATAATTCATTAACAGAAACAACCTATTCAAACTAAATTTCGTCACTGTTCATAACTGAAAAGATGTTTTGAATGTTACCACATTCATTTACCTCTGTGAAAGCTGTTAGAGGGAAAAAGCATTAGTTATATACAAAATAGCATGGCAGAATAAATTTAAACCTTTACTACAGGGGGTAATTACGCTATACATTTATCTCTTATCTTAAATGTTATTCACAACCCAGGGGCACCCTCTAATAATACGCTGTAGAAAGTCTGTGTGTAGAATTGTCCATTTCCTGGCGCTGATTGTCAATGTATTTAATTGTGACAGCGTTAATAAAAACCAGTACTACTACAGACGTTCACGGCTTACGTCAATATTTGTTCATGCATTATTAAATAAATCCAGGAGCAAGTTCAATGCAATTTATACTTTGAGGTTGTCAAGTAAATTGGTCAAAGTTCCGATACATAAAGTTTGTTCTGATCAATATAAACAAGTGGCACATGTATTATTTACCTGTGTATTTGGGTTTTGTTAATTAGTTTTTAGTAGAGACACACATAGTATTTATTTATAGTGCTTATTTCAAGGGTTGACATAATAAATTTCTTGTAACTCTTTATTTCCTAGCTAGCATTGAGTGACAAGGCTTGTTTTAAGTCATTTATTACCTGAATCTGTCTACAATCTCATACTTCCTTAAACATTGTTAAAATCTGGGTCTCTTATGTTTGACAAGCCTATTCCTTACACATTTTGAGAAACCATATACTACAGTAGTACCTTTGTCTATTATGCTAAGAGTAAGAATAGAATCAAATGAGAACGATCTTCAGTAAATAATGAAATGTGACTTTATACACTTACAATGATACAAAAATTTACAATGATTTGATGAATATACTACATAAGGGACGGTTATAAAGACATGATAAAAGGTTACAGCTTTAACAAGTCTAAGTAAAATCTACTAAATCTTTGTTCAGTGAAGTAATCAGTTTTAAGATCTGTATTAGGTAATGTGGCTAATGGATTAGTTCTTTTGTAATTGTTGTTTTTTGCCCTTGGTCCTGGTTTACAGCTGGTCTGTTTAACTGCTTTATACCTGGGGGACATTGCGTCTCTCTCTGTATTCAGGGTATCATTTCACACAGGTAAAATGGTTTTTGGTGTGGTCTCAAGGTTACAGTGGAGCAGGATTTCCCTAAGGGGTGTCATATTATTCTCAAACAGTCTGAACTTGAAATACAGGTCTGCAGATAATACAAATATACCTGCAATGTTCCTATAATTAAATAGTGTGATTTTACAATTCAATATATATTTGCATGTTTTACACATGAATCCCTTTGTATCATGTTGTATTGACATATATAATTTCGAGGCATGTCAATTTATTCTTGATTTCATATTCGACTGAATAAACTACAGTAAATGTTCATGCTAATTATTCTGTTTTATAGGACATCAAAAGATTCTTTAAAAAGTTCTGATGTCATTTGGAACCCTATAGATAAAGACTGGCTTTGTGAAGCCATATATTCTTAATCTTTGATCTAAGCTATTCGAAAAAATTTGATTTGTGAAATAACTTGTGATTTTCTAGATTGATTGTATCTTTTTCTGATTTCAAGGTGTCATTGGTTTCTTATTCAGTGGATAGTTTAGAGTATAATTACCAGTCCCTGCACTTCACAGATTTTCTGGTTTTAATGCGTACAAACTGTGAAGTTGTAAAAGAGAATTCTTATGTTTCTTACACTCTGATCAGTGTCTTAGTTATATAACCAGACAGTGCTACAATTGGGTTAATAAGTTAACAAACTGATAATTAAACCAATCCCTACGTATCAAAAAGAAGACAAATATATAGAGAACATTGTCATATATATAATCAATTAGATATCATGATTTATATGTTTAAATGTACTACAATTTACTAATACAGCAAAACTTGGTTATAGCGAAGTCACTAGGACCTATGAAATTACTTTGTTATATCTGTTATTCGTTGTATCCGTATAAGGAATTCGATAAAATTTTTTAAATCAGGGGATTCAAGATAACTTTGCTTATAATATTCGTGAATTCGCAATATCCGTGTTTGTACTAAACAAGTTTTACTGTAGGTCACAAGGTACTTCTGTAAAAAAATCTCAATCGAGCATCTAGGATATTGAAAGTTAACCCGAGAGAGTGATCAGTCATGTTAAATTCAATAAATAATGTCATTTTTATAACTCGTACATTGTCTATAACACCTGGAAGTGCAGATCAATCCATCTTCATAAATAAAGTCATTAATCACATCAATAATGAACTGAAGACGGTGGTTAAATTTGATGTTTTGTTCAGTGTTTTAAATTGTACACAATAAATTTATAATCAGGGGACATCTGTTCTTGTCTAGACTTTATAGTGTTACATGCATGTACTGAATTCTGGACAGGCAGGAAAAGTGCCATCTCCCACCACCACCACCAAATGAGGCAGGGCTCAGACGATTCTACATCAGCATTCATAAAATCCCTATATCAATGCACCTAAGCATATACATAGACACATTGAACAGTACATAGGCATTGAAATCAAAGGGCTGAGGGAAGGGCTTACCCCCACTTTTTTTTGCAAAGATAAACAAAGTGTAAGCTTTGAAAATTGATGCTGAATTCCCAAACTTTTTTTATTGGTTTAGGTTTCCCACTTTGAATTAGCTTCCACCACTTTCATTTTGCTTCCAACACCTATGCAATATATAAAGTACACTGTGTATTTTTAGTATGTTAGTTAATTACTGTTTCTTTTACTTTCATTATTATTTAATTATTAATAGAATTAAAGTCACACCATCTGAAACAAAGGGTAATCATAATTTCTTTGTTTCATTGGTCTGGGTTGTATTGGTTTTCATGAATTTATTCTGATTATACAGGTTTAGGTGTCCTCTTGGTTGTTGTGGTAGCAGTTGGATGGAAATGCACACCCAGAGGTCATGAACCCCTCCATGCCTTGTTTGGCCTTGGAGACTTTCGACACCAACAAGATCGGAGGTCAAGGTCACGTCGTCATGGACGGACTTCAAGAACAAGAGAGCATCAGTGGTATGGAGGTAAGATCAGCTGGAATATGTTTAAAAACCCCATGTAGTATTTGGTATACATAGCAACATATAAAGATATGCTTACAACTTAAACTTTGATTGTTATCAATGCTGTTATCAATGAATTTATTAAGTGAAGAATCACTGCCATTCCAATTTTTATGCCTACAATTTATCCTATTCCTACAGGAATGATGTACCCCGAGTTTCAGTACAGACGTCCCCCTCCCTCGTACAACGCCTCCATGCAGGATTTCCAACATCAGCTTGCCCTGGCACAGAGTCAAAGGGAGAGGTTCCACGCTACAGAGGAGCTCCCAGCGGAAGATTACAGCCTCCCCAGCTCTCCCCCTCCCTCCTACCGGTCACGAGCCAGCACGGCCAGGACAGGCATACAGATCACATTCCCTCCCACACAGGGAGACAATTCACGACCCCCCACCTACAGGTCACACGCCAGCACTCAAGGTCACACAGCTCATCAAAGGCCGTCCTTGCCAGATGACTATATACAGCATGGTAGTGATGTGGCTTTTACAGGACAGTATAACTCACAGCAACATTCACGGAACAGTAGTGCAGGAAATTTCCGCATACATTCCAGAAATAATAGTGGCACAGACAGAAATGTGGTATCTACAGTGGTAGAGCCACAAGGAGGTGGTGCTGTGGCGGTGAGTGTTAGTGTGGTGCAAAGTTCATCTCAGGACCAACTTTTGGACAGTGCTGTAGAACAGACACTTCAGACATTGGATGCAGTGACAGGGGAAGATAACCCTGCACAAGAAACCTCTGAGGACGAGTATCCAATGGAGACCCCTTTATGATGACAGAGAAACGGTAGACTCTAACATGATTCCAGCAGTCAATTGTGTGATTCCTTAGTTAGTGGCAATAATTCTAATCAAACAGGCAATATTTTACTAAAAAGAATTTTACTTTTTAACCATTCCATATGAAAAAAAAATCAGAAACTTTTTATTTTATATTACTGTGTTGTGTTGTTGTTTTGTTGTGTTGTGGAATGACTTTTTATACCAGAAGTATTTTAAGTTATTTAAAATATTTTTAATAGTATACAACAATTTTTTGGGCATTTTATCAATTTTTGTGAAGAGTTTCTGTATTATCAGACAGTTACATATACACTGTAAATTGAAGTCTTAATATTCAATGTGTATAAAATTTTGCTCTTTGAAGTAGTTATGTGCAATCAATATTTCAAAATAAGAAGTGTAGTCTTTTATTTAATTTTTATCATTGAATAACTGTAGTTTATCTGTATAAATTTAATATTAATTCACTCTTTTTAAAAAAAAAAAAAAAAAAAAGAAAATCACATGGCAGCAAAGTTCTGAAAATAAAAGTGAAGAAAATGCAGAAAATTACATGTTTAGAGTTATTATTATATATGGAATTTATTTTAAAAGTACAACCAGTTATATTTTCAGAATGCTTTATAAATGTAAAAAATTCCAAATCTTAACTCCAAAAAATGAAAATATTTTGTATTTTTAAGCATACTTTTTCTAAAGCATGCAAGAATGATAACTCTTGTAATTGAAGCTGAATTTTTTTATGATATTAGAATTCTCACAATATTCTGAGTATACACATATGTGTCCTTTTGTAACATTGAGAGTTACATGTAAGTTATTATGTACCAGTGCCAAATATTTGTAAATATTCTTGCCTCACACACTGTCCATAGAAAAGAAAAATAATTCCTCTTGATGTTTTCAGATGTACAATTTAGCATGTTGTATCTAGGATAGATTTGTGTAATTATTTTTTCCCATTAGTCAGTAACAATCTAATCAGAATTTACTGACAAAGTCCAATGCAATCATGCACTTCAGAAATTTCTCATACAGGTACCATGTACATATTTAAACTATAAATATGTAGACATTTTTTGTTTGCTTTTTGAAAATTATGTAAACCTGTAAATGTAGATCTAGCAAGTCAATTCATCACAAATATAGTTTTTAAAAAAAAGAGATATATCATGAGTCATGAAATTATAATGTGTTTTTAAAGTGGTATTTACTACATGTATTTACTAGTATTAATTTCATTTTTTTTCAGAATGTTTCAAGAAACATTGATAAGATTTTATGAGAATTTTATTCATAATTTGCTTCATTTAATATTGAGCATCAACCTTGTATGGTAACAAAACCAGACAGATCACAGTTTGTTTTAAATCATTTTAACATTTGTAGAAGTGAGAGAGTCAGCTGTGATGGTTTATATAATCATATCACCTTGCGCTATATTTCCCTTGATTTGCTAATTTTTATGCAATAAATATAAAATTTTTGTACAGTCACTTTTCTTATTGTTGTTTTCAGTGCAGTCTTGATTCTTTTTATTTAGAAACAAAGTGTTAGATAGAACTATGCCAAGTGTTGCTCACTTTATACACTGTGACATAGCAGTATGAAATATACTAATAATGACAGCAAAACCATTCATCAAATTCTTCACAGAATTACATATCCTAATTAAAGTAATCAGTTTATTTTAATACTAAACCGTCTTTTTCACACCTGAAACAGATTTCATAAGACATATTTGTAAACATTAATACATGTAAAATATTTGAGTTCAAAAAAGCATTAATCGTTAGTTTTTCAGGCTATTTTTTTTTCTTCAAAATTCATTGGACAGTTATAATATGCCTTAAAAACGTCAAAGGGTGGTAAGTCAATTTTCTTTTTCAATTTGGACAAATAGAAAAGTGAGTTACTTCTATTTTAACGTATCTTGTTTCCTTTGAGAAGTTTTGTTCCCCTAATATTAGAAAAAAACATTTTTATCTATTAGTTGGCGTGATGATTTTGAAATCTGATTTCTACTGAGGATTCTTTTAAAGCTCCCTTAAGCTTGATTTTTGGTTTATTGTCGCAACACATTTTCGGATTCACCAAAAAAAAAAATATACTTGTAAAAGAAAAAACACATCTTGAATACCATTTTGAAAAAAATATCTCGTTTGATTTCTAGTAAAATATATTATAAGGTATCGTAAGATAAACAAAATTTTCAATCAAAAACATACCTTAGAACTTGATAATTCGACAATCGGTAAAAAAAAAAAATAATAAGCTTTTGATATTGAGATGTGTGAATGAAAATAAGATGTTTTTTGGTACACAGACAAGTTAACCGACGTTAACAACATTTATTGATTTTATATCACTATCTTGTAATTAAAACGGTTGGAATGTATGATTCTGAGTCTGTATCTTGGCATTTTTCAATGTTCACGTACCGGTATTTGTTATCATTGGTATGCTATAGAAATTATAAAGCTACTTTTTAAAATGAACATTTAGTTTTTATTATACCGCATACTCTAGAATAGGAATTAATTCAATGAATATTAAGAAGCAACTGAAGATGCAATATTATACGCAACGAAAATTACTGATACATAAGTATCGGTAAGATATATAATTTAATATGCAACCCAAAGGCCACTGAAATATTTTCACGAAGTCATTAAAAATGGTACCTTCAGGGGTTTAGGTTTAATTTCATGGGCAAATGATGCACTTGGAACTTGTTGAACAGGTGAATTTAGTTACTTCTGTTTCATTTCATTCTTTTCATGATAACTGTTGCAGAATTATAAAACGTCAAATACATAATGAAGTACATGTACATATCTAAACGTTGAATTAAAAGTCACTGCAAGAGACTTTTTCTTTTCATGTAAGATACTCATCAGGTCCCACCTCTGATGTTTTACACGTTCGTGTTTATTTGCTCTGCTTTTTATTTGCATTGCTTGAATGGGCATTTGATCATGAATGTTGTTTGTAGCTCCATATGTTTCATGGTGTATAGATTGAAAATGCATTATATGTATCTAAATAATTAATAATATTTACAAATTTTCTCTTTACTGATAGAAAATTATTGGTTCTCTAAAAAATGGAGAGAAGCAAAGGAAGTTTTTTTTAAACCAATGCGGTCTCTGAGTCTGTTGTTAAAAATTACATTTCTGGTTAAAAGCGAAAAGAAAAACGAAAGCTGAAAATCATAGTTTATTACCATGACACAAGAGCATACTCCACGTATATACAATTTCTTCAAAGGACAAGCTCTTGATAAACAACTGATTCAAATGCGGACTGACTAGGTTCATACAATTGATAGGTCATTATTTACACACTAAATTGCCTATGTTTATATATTTTTTTTGCTAATTCCTAATCATGGCAAAGATCCCACATATGATGTTTTTGTGGTATGTTTTAAAAATCTTGTGTTCAGGTAGTATAGATTCAACCGGGGGTAGGGCGGGGCCACATAATTTTACATAGAAATATATGTTTAATGGGCTTTTGCGCTTGAATACTATCAAAGTTTTATATAGAAATATATGTAAAAATCTCCATAATTGAAATATATAGGAAAATAAATTTCATAACAAAGCCATAATTGTATGAAAAATAGAATTTGTTTCATTCCGGGGGTAGGGTGGAATCGACCAAAGTTTTACATAGAGGAAAATTCTTTAAAAATATTTAGTAAAACCATTAGAAGGTTTACTTTTGGATTTAAAGGATATTATTTTTTGTATGGGCCTCTTGTTTGTTTTTTTTTTTACAAAAATAATATCCTTCCTCCATTTTTGAATTTTCGATGATAAACGTGATGACCTTTACTTTCTTTACTTATGCAGGTCAATATACCTTCATCACCTGCATATGGAATTTACATATCTCAGTTGATTCGATACGCAAGAGCATGCTCTGTGTATGAACATTTTCTAAGGCGAGGTAAGTTATTGACAAACAAGTTGATGAAACAATTTAAGAATATCAGCAGTCGTGTTTAAAGTCATCATTTCGTAAGTTCTTTTGTCGATTCAATGATCGTGTCATGAATTAAAATTTATCATTTCAGACAAATCCTGACTGACGTTTTTCATACTAATTGTTAATCCATTATTTATACACTGAATGAACGACGGATTTTCCGTTATTTCCCGATCGTGACAAGGAGCACACGGCTGGTGTGACCAGTCGTCAGGGGATTCACACTCCTCCATGGCACCTGATCCCACGTCTGTTGTTTCGGAGGTCCGTGTTTGATCTGCTCCAATTTTGTATTGTTTTATGGACTTTTGATCTTGAATACTGTTCATGATTGAGTTTCTGCTTGATAATATCAATGCAGTTTTTCGAGATCAAGTCTTCTAACAATCTGTTGGGATCCCCATGGGTACCAATTGCGCCCTTTTAATAGCAGATTTGTTTTTGTATTCATATGAAGCAGAATTTATTCAAAATCTTATACACAAGAGAAAGAACATACTTGCTATGGCCTTAAACTCGACATATAGATTTACTGACACCGTATCCTCAATCTATCCAGATGTCGACACATTATATCTAAGTGAGCATGAAATTACAGATACCAAAGAGTCCAGCACACCTATTAAAAGTAGTATTAGAATATTTTACCAGAAAAAGACGGTAACCATAAGATGATAACCTTATAATCAATCTTTACCTTTTCAATCGTCAACTTCCCTTACTTATGCAGCAATAAACCCTTATCATCAATTTATTCTCTCAGGTGATTCTATACACAAGAGCATGCCATGCTATACATATGATCATTTTCTAAAACGAGGTACGTTTTTGACAAACAAATTGACGAAACAAGAATAACAACAGTGTCGTTAAAGTCATCATTTCGTTAGTTCTATGGCCGGTTCAATGACCTTCTAAGCAAATACAATCTATTATTTAAAAATGCTGACTGACATTTTTCATTTTTATTGTTAGGCCAACAAATTAAATTGTTGACGAATTTTTCCTTTATTTCCCGATTATGAGAAGGGGCACACGGCGGGTGTGACCGGTCGTCAGGGAATGCTCACTCCTCTGTGATACCTGATCCCACCTCTGTTGTTTTAGAAGTCCGTGTTTGCTCTGCTCCTGATTTGTATTAATGTTTATTGGACTCTTTGAGCTTGAAAACTGTTCTTTTTCTCCATATGTTTCATTGTTCTATCTTAAAATAATTTTCAAGTTTATGTATGTTAAATAAAGATGAAAATATTCATAAGTGTAACCGAGCAGTTAATGGCAAATGATGACTAAGATGATGGTATCCATTTTGTTTATTGAGTATATAGAGAGAAACATATATAGAAATAATATATTTAAACTGTAAGAAGACATTGATTTTTAAAACAAATATAATAAATAATTTCTATAGCTAGAAAAAATACAATTTACATATAGTTTCATAAACATTGACAATAAATTACCGTTTATTAAGTATACATATTTAAGAAAGAAAAATGTACTGTAGCAAAATGAACTTTGAACTTACAGACAAAAATATAAGAATTTACCAAATCAACTAAAAATGCAAAAATAAGATAAAGTATAAACTTCGCAATTAAAATTATATCAAATTTATTGAATGTTTAATAGTTTTTAACAAATAATTAAATATGAAAGTTACATGAAAACCACAAGATGCATTTGTATATCATGTGGAAAACGAGATATAATTTCTTCTATAAATAGAAAAAATGTAAAACCAGCTCTGTACTAAAATTTTGCTCGCAGATAACAAATAACTGAATAAAAAATTGTTTTCTGTTACCAACACAGTAAATTAATTTTCATTTGGATATCTTGATGCTGACCATATCCACTAAGAATGTTAGCTTGTGCACATGTCAGAAATGCTAGACAGGTCTATAAAAATTTTTATTTTTACGTATATAAATATTTAGTGACAACTCTCTCAGGTCTTCATAACAGGTACAAAAACAAAATAAACCGGCAGTGTTTTGATAACAATGTTATAAGTTCAGGCGTGATATTCAGCACTACAAATTAAAATTTACCGTCCGGATAAATTTATTTTATTATTATTATTACAGCTTTATATAGAGTTCTTATATCATAGTGAAGGTCCACTGTATTCAAAAGAAAATATTCTATGTGAATGGTCTTGAAGCAAGAAATTTCAAATTTGAAAAAAAACTCATATCAACAGAGTTCAATTAGTACATTATTACTTAAGCAAAATGGCTATAGCTATTAGTTGATGCTATTTAGGGGGATGTTAGTTTGTGCATATGTCAGAAATGCTAGACAGGTCAAAACAAGATACTATATATATAGTAACTCTCTCAGGGCAACAAAAATATTATGTTTCAAGATAAAAAGAAATCTTTTTTTAATATTCATATTTTCAACTTCTGAAATTTTAGTATTATTTTTACAGCTTTATATAGAATTCTTATATCATATATAGTGGAGAAAAATATTATGATTTGATTTGAACTTATTTTATTATGTTATAAATACATTAATGGATTGGGCAGCAGTCATAGCCAAAGCTCTCTAAAACAATACAAAATAAAAGAAATCTTTTTTTAATATTCATATTTTTAAAAACAATGAAAAGGGTAAAACAACCGAATAGTAATCGATCTGGAAGAAGTCTATAAACAATACAAGTCAGTGACTACAGCACGGACCCAGGATACACCAGAGATTGGATGAGGTGCCTAGTAGGGGTAAACAACCAATCACGTGACCATACGTCAGCCATATGTATTGATCATTCCGTGATAAAATTTATTGTACATTTCCTTCAGAAACAAATGAATTCAGTTCACAAATTTAAGTTCCTTTTTTAGGACAACAACTCAAAAATACTGGTATCCAAATTCTCACTAATGTATAATGTAATGTGTATGAAATCAAACCTTACCATAGATTCGTGATAATGAAATGTTTACCTATGTCATCAGAAATGTATTGAATATTAGGGTTTTTAATAAAATACACAAATATTTTTTAACTTTTACGAATATTGCTCTATTGATACCACGTCATATCAGAACACTGTCAATCAATTTTAGTAATACACCAACTTTAAAAATATAAATTTTTTTTTCTCAACCCCGACAACATCTGTTTTACAATAATTATCAGCCATTCTCTTTATAACATCAAATTGATCGATTGTAATAAAAAAAAATTAAAAAACCAACCCTATTCTCTTTGTGTCATATGATAATCAGCTATACTGTAAGCTACACAACTTGTTGAATGTCCTATCCAAAATCATTAAAATGATGAAATAAGAAGAAAAACACTACAGCTGGGACGAAACCTACGTGGTAAGTTGCTGTTTTTAACCAAAAAGACTTTAGATTTAAATGGTAAAATTTAAATCTTCCTATTGTTATTAGATGCTGCTACTTAATTGTCGAATTCAAAAGATTTTTGAACCTTGGTTTATGTAACAAACCAATGTATCTACTCCTCCCTACACACAATCTCCTTGTTTTACTAATTGGCTATTTAAACAAAGATGTTAACGCAGTAAGTAATTTGAGAGACCAGTACACGATATTTATTACATGTATATGTATGGTTATTTCCATACGCTAGACAAAAAACATTCATTAAAAATTTGCAGACTTAATTTGCTTTGATACGATTTAGTTTGAAACAAATGCCAATACATGTACTTATACCTATAGTACAAATACAGGGTGTGGATAATATTTTGAGAAAGGAATCTAAAAACTGGTCACACTTCAGAAGATTTTTAGAGATGATTTAAAAACTTTAAAACCATACCAAGTGTGTCTTTTTAACCCTGAAAAGTGGAAAAAAAAAAAACAGTGAACTATTTCTTTTAAAGCATATTGGTGCCCTTGAAGTTATTCTTAAAAAAAACAAATATTGGATTTATTTCAGTAAGTACATTTATTTTCGTATGGGAATTTCTTTTTATTATGTATTGTTGAACCTAGTATAATTTGAGTTAAAATTTCTTTAAACGTATCAATTGCAATTAATTTGTAATTAAGAATGTTTCAAAATAGATACAATATTATTTATTTAAGTAGCATTTTACAGCGCAAATGTAATAGCAACGCGAAATGTAATAAACCTGGATTATTATATTTTGCGTTATTACATCTTGCATCGAGATCAACGCAAAATGTAATAACACAAAATGTAATAACATGATTTTTACACTATTACATTTTGCGTTATTACATCTTGCGTCGAGATCATGCAAAATGTAATAAAGTGCTTTTGAGGGAGAGATGGAGTGTTTACTTCGTATGTTTAAATCATTGTATTACTACAGACATGCAAAAACAATCTATTTTATTGTTGGATGGAAAGAAGAGAGAGAAAAAAATTGTTTTTGCTTGTCTGCTGGTGATTTGTATGGGATAGTCTATATATCTACACCTGCCAGTATAAATGAAAAGGTTTTTTCCTAGATTCATTGCATTTGTCTCAAAAGCACACTGGTCAATACCCCCCTCCCCCCAACAACAACAACAACAACCCCGCCCACACACGCACGTTTCTAATTTGCAACACATATAATTTGAATACATGTATTAAACTAATTTTTAATACATTTAGCTAATTAAATCAATAAATTATAAAATTCATGAATTGCAAGAAATTGCATATATCTCTTCTTTTCCTTTTGTTTTATTGTCTTTTCCATTCTTTTCTACTCTACTGTATATTGTACTCAAGCTGACTGACTAAAATGTGTGTTATATCATTTTGCCTTCTTGCCTTTTGCTTAATCTCGACGCAAAATGTAACAAGGCAAAATGTAATAATCCAAAAATCTTTTTATTACAAAAATCTTGTTATTACATTTTGCAAAATGTAATAATCCTCAAAAGTGTGTTGTTACATTTTGCGTCATTACATTCTGCGTTGATCTCGACGCAAAGTGTAATTTTGCAAACTGTAGAATCCAGGTTTATTACATTTCGCTTTGTTATTACATTTTGCGTTGTAACACAGCAAACATGTACAAAAACCAATTTTCAAATGTCTTCCTTATATTGAAATCTGATCAAATATTACTTTCATAACACACAACCAAGTACACCCTCTCTCACACACAGAATTTTCTCAATCCCACTAGCATAGACTTTCAAAATTGCAGTAAAATTGAAGGCCTCAGAATAGATACAGTGTATTTCTTTAACAGACATTGAGAAAAGCGAGGTCTTTTTACACTTTTCCTTTTTCAATTCAGCTGAAGAAAGATATTTGAATTCATGGTAAAATACGTGGACCTTTACCTGTTTTTTTCTCTGGACTCATTTTTCAGACACATCAAATTATCGACTACACACATAACCATTTAATTTTGAATTTGCAACTTATTTTCAATCTACCAACCTTTTTAATCACAAAGTATTTTTAATTCCTTGGGGTAAATTGAGGACATAGATGTACAATGTACATATAAAAGATATATCATAAGCAATCCACTAGGTGTCAGTAACATGTTGAAATGACAATTTTAGATTACGAAAAAAAAAAACTGCGCACATTTTTCTTTGCTAAACTGCACTCTCAATAAAGATTTGCAATTAAAGTTGAAGATGAGTCCGATTTTTGAGTAAATTTTCTTAATTAATGATATAAGTAATGGAAATATTCCAAATACTGTTCTACCCTGTAAAATTGTATGAGGCATAAACATGTATATTACTCAAAACATTGCTATTTAAATGTCCAAAAATTACCCGGAGAAGTTCGATAATACACAATAGCAGTTCAAGCATCAATAGTTTCCTACTTGAATCATAAAGAAAAGAGAAAGTGTTTTTTTACACAGTACAAAACAATGAAATAGCTCTGTCGTTTCATTTAATTCTTTCAATGACAGTATATTTGATTAGAAGGAGTTATGGACAGTGCTCGGGTGTTGAAGGAATGATTTTTTTTTTATTCGGAACATTTTTTTCCATTAATTTGCATCTGACATTAATACAGGCACAGTGCTGGATCATCACCATGAAATTCAAAGTAAAAATGTTTCTTTTTATCTGAAATTCTAGTTGGATGATAGAATGAAAATCTCAGGTTTTTAATAATGCGACCATTTGCAAAGCTCGTTAAAGGAACACATCCACAGATTCTTTATAAGACATAGATCTACCGGGTATTTCGCTTATTTACAGTACTTAATCGAAACAATAAACAATAACCCCTGTGGAGACTGTTGAGGCAGGTTAAAACTGTTTTTTTTAAAATTGATCTGCTTATTTTATTCTGTATACGTCTTCACTTTCGTTTCCCACAACGGAATGGAGGCTGGTTTTTCTGTCGAGACCGTATAAACAGAGGTCTTCTGTCGCAGTAGATGCTGGTAAGAAAAGATCATTACTGCTTAGTGGCCCTATGGTCTCGTGTCGAACTAGGTGCTGTGACTAAATATCCTTTACTGCTTAATGGCCATGAGTGCATAGCATAAGTCTAAATTGCGGCTTTCATTCGGCAGGTGCAAGGTGGTCTATCAATAAGATTGAAAAATTCTCAAAATGGACGTTAAGAAAACAATTAAACATTAAATAGTGAAAACATTTCTGCGACTTAATTGAAAAAATGTTTTATCCAATATTATATATCGTTTATAAACCTACAGTTCTATGCCTACAAAAACCTCAGAACTTTTATTTTACATGCATGGTTTGCTAAATCTCAATATTTTCAAGAAAGAACCTCTTACGTTGATTAGGTGAATTAGCCTTGTTAGATGTTGCAGAACATGTAAACGTTTTGGTAATCTGCGTTTCATTTTATATGTATTAGATACCAAAATCTAATAAATCATGACAATTCTAGCAAGAACTTCTGTACAGTGTACTGAAATATCAATATTTTGATACATAAAGAATCTGTAATCAGTGGTATAATTAATGCGTTACTAGGCATGCCTTTGTCAATATTTTTATTAATTTTTTTTTTACATCTGTCGTCTAACTTTATATAGAATATTAGTTCTAGCGCAGAATAACATTGATATTACGTCACAATAAATGATTAAAGATAAAGATAAAGTCATCACGACTTTAACTTTTCTATCGTCAACTTCCTTTACTTATGCAGCAATATACCTTCATCGCCTGCATACGGAGTTTATAAATCTCAGTTGATTCGATACGCAAGAGCATGCTCTACGTATGAAGAATTTCTAAAACGAGGTAAATTATTGACAAACAAGTTAATGAAACAAGTATTTCAGCAGTCTCGTTTAAAGTCATCATTTCGTAAGTTCTATCGCCAATACAATGACCTTGTCAGCAAATACAATTTATCATTGAATCAAAGCTGACTGATGTTTTTCATACTAATTTTCAAACTAATTGTTAGTCCATTATTTATACACTGAATTGACTACAGATTTTCCCGTTATTTCCCGATCATGACAAGGAGCACACAGCAGGTGTGATCGGTCGGCAGGGGATGCTCACGGCACCTGATCCCACCTCTGATGTTTTGGAGGTCTGTGTTTGCTCTGCTCCTATTTTGTATTATTTTATGGACTTTTGATCTTGAATAATGTTCGTTATCTCCATATGTTTCATGACTTTCTAAATGAAGGAAATAATCCATCACTCATTGGGACTAGGGTAGGTCTCAATATATGGAAAAAGAGAAAAAAAACTTTCAAGATAAGGTTAATGATTAGACCCATTTACCTTGTCTTACTTAATGTGTCTGTCATAATTTCATTAAGTTTTCTTTCTATTTTTAAGATGGAGGATGATTTGGTGAATGGATATGAGACACAGACATCATAGCTACTGTTCCCATGAAGTTTAAACGTTGTAGGTATACCAGTCTTTGTGAATGTAAACCTCACTAAAGCAATCTTATCTATAACCATGTAGTCATTGCAGCACATTAACAAAGACAAAGGACTCAAAGAAACACTGCATGTCAAATACATGACAAGTTGCAAGTTACAAAATATATCAAAATATCAGAGAAAACAAGTAGTGGTTTGTACAAACTTTAATCCAAAGATGTACAATAGATATACTTATGTGCTCTTAAATACTGAAACTGATGAACAATTCGGTTCATGTGAACCTGAAGCACATTTGCAGCTCTGTTCTGCAGCATGTTAAATAATAAAGAGGGTGTGTGTGTGTGTATAGAGCATTTATTACAAATGCCAAATGAGATTACAGATTTTACAATATCAGAATGCAGCAGAAGGTGGGGCCAATTTGTAAACCACATTTTGGAGCCGAAATGTTATTCTGATAAGGATAAGGCTAATAGCCGTTACTAGAGGACGCTTAAGTATAAAACCCGGAAAACCCTTCGGGACCCATGAATTCAAACAAATTGGTAATTAATAAAAATATGCAATTTATTACGTATTTAGATCACATAAATTCCTTTATATACATAAATACACAAAAGTGCATTAAAGTGATAATTCACAAATCATAAAATACCAGAGGTGATCAAAAAGTTCGCGAACTATCTCTATATTTTCAAAACCATGATTCAGATCAGAATGAAATTTGACACACCTATAGTCATGCACATGTTCTATAAAAAGCATATGAAAAAAATTATTTTCTTCATCATTGTGATGTCACAATGTTAAAATGACGTCAATATGTAGGTGACTCGTGACGAAAAATGGTTGTCTCAGTCTTACCTGAGCAACGAACGGCTGTAAAGTTCAACGTACAACTTGGAAATTCCTTTGAAGTATCTTATAATAATTTGTACAAGGTTTATGAAGACAATAGACTTTCCAGACGTTTAATCATAAATTGGATTGATTGTTTTAGTGAAGGGAGGAAGATGGTTAAAAATGACGCTTGTTTTGTACCCCCAACGAAAGCAAGCTTGGGACGATATGTGTCTTTTGTTAGGCAATTTGTAATAAAAGATCGCGAAGTTACAGCTAAAAAATGGTTGAATATCTTAACAATAATATCATTATTAAATCCCTAAAATATCTTTTTATTTTGACTTTTAACATATCAAATATGATCAAAAGAAGGTCCCTACAACTGTATCCCTGTTTGATAAACGACGTTCCTAAGACAAAGATCTCGGGTTGTGATGGTCACCATGTTCTTTCTGGGAAAGGATATCCTTATCTAACCATCCTATCTCCGAGATTTGGTCACTCCTGACAAATGGACCGTTCTTGTTATAAAAATCAACTTGCTTGGTAAGAAATATAAGACTCGTAAAAATATTTTAGCGTCTATGAACAGAATGCTTCAGGGCATGTCACGTGACCGTCTGGGTCACGTGATTTGCGCATGTGTAGAACGGTGGCAGATATGCGTTAAAATCAGAGAGGGCTACTTTAAAAAAATAATGAACACTGCAACCTAATTTTATTTGTTTTATGGAAGTTATTAAATTTGTTCGCGAACTTTTTTTTTATCACCCCTCGTATATGGAGATAACGAACAGTATTCGAGCTCAAAAGTCCATTAAACATTACAAAACAGGAGCGGGGCAAACACGGACCTCCAAAACATCAGAAGACGGATCAGGTGCGATGGAGGAGTGAGCATCCCTTGCCGACCTGTCACACCTGCCGTGTGCGTCTTGTCATGTTTGGGGAAAAACGGAAAATACGTGGACAACTCAGGGTGTAAATAATGGCCAAACAATCAGTATGAAAAAAAGTCAGTCAGCATTTGATTAAATGATAAATTGTATTTACTGACTTCCATGTACTTTTCAAGTATAATATCTACAACAGCCCTGCATTCTTGTGATGTTAAATCAATCAAACAATCAGAAAAAGCAAAAGCATCTTATGTTAAAGATATACTGCAGATAAGGCTGGATAATTTAGTTTTTCCTACATATTTTATGTATGTCAGTAGGTCATCAAATTAGGTCTTCATATGATACCAGATCCTACTTTTGATTTTTCAAAGATCTATGTTGGTCATAATTTTATTTTTATGTTTTAGCTTTATTACTTGTATTTTTCGTTTTCCTCTTATTTTATAAGGTAAAGAAATCATTTTATTCTTTCAGATTCAGCATGTTTTGTGGCAAGCCTTTTTGCAACATTAGTATCCCTCAGTATATTCAGCAAACTAAACAAGAGAATTGGTCCAGTTCATATTCAAGGCATGAAATTCAGAAAATACAACCAAATATCCTCTAATAAGCTTACAACACCTACGAAATTACCAAATGTTTCCGCAAAGACAATAGAAATAATCAGAGGAAGTGCAAATGAGATGAAATTAACTGACAGGACCACCGATACCTTAATGAACCCTGGTGACATGCCTGTTGTTTTAAAAGCAAAGCATATTCAGAATGACGTTTCAGGGATGTCAACATCTCCTCCTACTAAGAGAAATAATGCATCTGAGTTTTACGTATGTCCCACCTTTATTGGAAGGCTAGGGAATCAATTATTTCAGTTTGCCTCTGGATTTGGTATTGCTGTCTCTAAGGATATGAAGTTTGTAGTTGGCAGAAATGATATGATATACAAAACATTTAAACTGGAAAACAATAGAAATCTTTTCATTAGCGAAGACAGAGAACACGAGTGTGGAAAAGCATACGTCAGTTTTGAAAGACAAGCATCTTCTTTTGACAAAAATGTTGGAAACTTTGCTACAAATGCAACACACAAAGTTGGAAATTACTTACAATCTTGGAAATATTTTCATAACTCGACACATGAACTTCGAAAGCTGCTAAAATTTAGGGATCATTTCCAGACTCAAGCCACAGAAATTATAAAAGATATTTTGAAGAAATATAATACAACTCGAGAGAAGGTAACTCTAATTGCTATTCACGTTAGACGTGGTGACATGATAAATCATACCTATGGATATGTTGTTGCATCAAAGGAATATTTTGATAAAGCGATGAAGCTGTTCAGTGATTATCCTAATCCCATTTATGTTCTATGTTCCAATGATCTCATATGGTCTAGAGCAAACATGAAAAAAAACAGAGTTGAGTTTATTTCTGGAAATTCCCCGGAAGTAGATTTGGCTTTAATGGCGTCTTGTGATCACGTGATATCGTCTGTAGGGTCTTTCAGCTGGTGGGCAGGCTGGCTCTCCAATGGAAACGTGACCTACTACAGGTGGCCGGCAAAGGAAGGTTCAAATCTTCGAGCTGAATTCAGCTCAGATTATATGGATTATTTTTATCCACATTGGAAAGGGTTATAATGATTTTTAATTGTTACTTTATTTTTTTATATTTGATTTTTCTTTAAATAAAACATACAGTTCAGTCTATAATATCATTTGTCTTTTTTTCAAATGTCAGCGGCATGACTTCAAGTAAATTAACCTCAACGATTCATTTACGAATACTGAAATCAAAGTAAAATAAAAACTTTATATAAGGGTATTTATAAAAAGCCTTTTGAAAGGCACTTGATAATACGTGAACTTAAGTATTTGATGTAGAAATCCTATTTTTAAGATGGCATGTGATCAAACCACTCTGCAAAATCTAGCTTATGCAGACAATCAGACGGAAGGACCGATACTAATAAGAATAACAAACATGGTGATTTGGGTTTATCCCCTACCATTCTACATATTATTTCTCCAATTTTGCCTAAACAATGCATACATACTCTAGAGACTCTGAAAATCCTAAATCTATTAAAATAAGAACATTTTATTCTCTCAAATACAAATATGTAGCGAAATATGTGAAAGGATCGAAAGTTTCACTTTAATTAAACAGAACATTTACAAAATTGTATCGATTGTTGAATTTTTAAGATTGACCACCGATCTTTCTTTCCATAATATTTTAGATCTTAAAGATATTTTCAAAACTTTTGTAACAATGTTCTACACTTTCGAAGAAATGTATTAAAATTAACAAAACTAAAAGATTCTTTTAAAAAAAACGGTATAAATATCCAGTAAAACGTCATGAAAATTCTGCAAAGATAAGTCAATTTTTTCGCAAAAATATTTGTAAGTTAAAAAAATATAATATAATATATTTTGTATTTAATCACTTACTATAGCATCAATCTTCAACGATTTCCTTAACCATGCATTCAGTAATTTATAAAATCTGCATTTTCTTTATTGCATTTCTAATGAAAAATATATTTCCTGATATTCATAATTCAAACTTATGAATAAAGAAGCAATTTTTCAACATCAGATTAATATGTTTGATCCAGTATTTCAAAAAATACATTAAAAATGTAGGATGTAAGAGGAGTAGATTTGTTTATCTTGCATTATGACAACATAATTACATGTATATGTTTTGCAATTATAAGTGAATTTAAACTTTCTTAAGTGAAAATGAATGTAGTATTTCTATAAACATGATAAAGTAAACTTTCATCATTGAAATACCGACTTCAGTTTCGTTATATTATATCGTTTAAAAGGTTTTTTGTATTTTCAAGAGACAACATTAGGAAATTTTTTATTCGAAGGTAAGATGCCCAGGCTAAAAAAAATTACTGTATAAATATTATCATTTTATGAATATCTACAAAAATAAGAAATACCAAAAAATGATTTTATTTTCAAAAAGTATTAACATGTATAGACAACTCACTCCAGAAAATATAAGCAGCGTATCATTAGTTTTTTTTTCTTTCTTTCTTTTATTTTTAGTTGTTATTCACACATAATGTTTTTTTTAATTTAGAAATAAATTAAGGGTTTATATTTAACAATTATTAATTCACATGATATACTAACTGATATAAACAATGGATATGCTTTCTTCATATTTTATTATTCTATTCTTAAGTTACCTCTCCATTTCACTCAGTAAATACGTGCAAAAAGTATTGAAAATTCAGTGAATTATGCAAGTAAAAATGTATACTGAAACGCAAAAGAAACGCAACAAGCAGAAATTCTACAAATGTTTGATTTTTTTATCTAATGATTTTCAAAAATGAATTCAGTAAGGCTAAACTCACTTTTCAAAATATCATTTAAAGATCTTATAAAAATGTTAAATGTTTATCTTTGTACTTTACTGAGTAACATACGATTGTTAAAAAACCCCTCTCTCAGCCATTCACGTAAAACGAGCAAGACTGCCCTAAGCAACAATTGCAGCTTAATTTCTACGACACAATTAGGTTCATCAATATCGAGATCTGAGAGAAGGAATTATTCTCTGCCGTTTTTAAATGCCTGTTTTTCAGTTGATTAGGTCGAATTTTCTCTAACTTAGAGCAGTGTAACCACCCTTTGACCTCCGGCACAGGACTGTCCTTAATGCATATGATACGTAGGACCATGTTGAGGCGTAATGTAGTGAATTTTTCCATCAGCAACTCTCCATCACCTTTACATTGAAATTTTCCAGCTAGAGCAATGGAAATGCGTACTTAAGCCATTTTCAAGATGCCTTAGCATTGTTTCGGGAAACGAAAGGAAAGTTTCGTAATTGAAATATTGCTGCATTACTTATGATGAACAGTAAAAGCCCTTAAAACTCCATAATATTGCCAAATGTTTTAAATTACTGATGTTTACCAAATTGAAGATATATACAAAATTCTTAACTTTACATAAATATTTTTCCCTAAAGTAGGGCGTTTTGTTTTGTTTTGTTTTGTTTGTTTGTTTGTTTTTTTTTTTTTTTTTTTTTTTTTTCGCGTGTCAGTATATTTAAAATGCAGTGTTACAAAAATTAAATATATATTATTTTTTGGAATGCTATCTAGTTAAACTTCCAAAAATTAAAAAAAAATGTAATATTTAACATATTTCATTTTACTTTGAATGTTTTTTCATACAGATGCATATGTAAATATAAACAATGAAATGCCTTTCTTTGTTTCTTAGACGGGAATTTAAATCGCAACTGTTGCAGAGAAAATTACATAACTTGCTTATGCGGTATATTGATAAGATATGAAAAATATTTGTCATAAGCAAGTAATAAACCAGTAAATAAGTTGAAAGTAAAAACAAACCATGTCCACTGTTTCATAAAGTGCGTTTACAGAAAAATCTCAAACTTCACCAATAAAACCTTCTTCATCAGTAAAATAATGTCCGATTTTATCTATTCCCTCTAATGAAAAATATTACAGAAAAATAAAATATAGTCTCTAAGTATTACAAAACCATCATTTCTGACCAATTTTTACCAAGTTGACAAAATCGTTTACTTGTGATGTACAGCTACAAAAATGATACACTGTAGAAATAACTATATGAAGTACTTTATGATAATTTTAATAGCTTTCGGGTTATATTAGTGTTCATCAAATATTCTGTAACTAGCTGATTTCATCAATCAGAAGGATGTGTATCGGGTGTGTTTACAAGTACACAATGTCTCAATTCTAAGTAAGTAAATATTTATCATGTTCTCCTATATCATTCATCTTTGGTTAACATTTAATTAATTTTAGACACAATTACAAACATTTTACTCAAATTCGATAACAAAGCCATATTAAAAAGATAGATCAAAAGAGATAAATCTATTATTGAAAGATTGAAGGATATGGAGATATCGAACAGTATTCAATATCAAAGTTCATAAAACAATACAAATTAAGAGCAGAGTAAACATGGACCTCTAAGACATCAGAGGAGGGATCAGGTGCCATGGAGGAGTGAGCACCCCCTGCTGACCGGTCACACCCACTGTGTGCTCCTTGTCATGATCTGGAAATAATAAGGTTAACATCTTTGAAAGAAAAACAAAAACACTACTTTTCTCCTTAGATGAACATTGTTATTCATCAAAATTTGTTCTCAATATTCTATACTCTGATTTATTTTGTTTCAAGACGGTTACTCTAGACTGAATTTACCTACGAGATGATATATTGTTCAAATACTATGACATCATCATTGTTTGAAATGGACCAATGTCTGTGAGTTTCGTGGTTCACATCTATCAAGCAAATGTTCTCCCCATAAAGCATTTTTTTTTGGTCAATATATTCTCCCATTGAATATACAATTTACCCCAAAAGTTACATCCCCACCATAAAACCAAATTTCGCTAATCCACAAACATTGATCCGCCACGAATTAATATCATTCCATGGTAAGAGATATAATTATAGAGGATCGTATACTGTTGAATATCATACTTGATACTTATTATATGAAATTGCGCGAACAAGTCTAAACCCCTGATTGAACTTCTTGTACCTGAAATGTAAGTGACCTACATGTATCTACATACATCGATCATTTGCCCTAATTATGTACATACAAATGTTTAAATATTGATGACAGTTTTATCATTCCCTGTCCAAAAAAGGCAAAGAAAGAAATGATTAAAAAGCGCAAATCCTATAAAATTATAGCTGTTAAGAATGATAACAGTTATTTTCTAAATAAACATAAAAATTATACATTACATATAGGAAAGCATCACAGTATGACTTTACGTTGTATATGTTGCCACACTACATTTTGCAGCCTACACGTTACATGATCTTTATAATACATGTATTTTTATAGGTTTCTTTTTCTTTAAATGAGTCAAAATGAGAAGTAAAGCAGTCAGTACATCCAGTTCTACTATATCTTTGAATGTAAAACGTTGTAAGTAAATCAATTCGTACTCACTTTTAATTCGGTTCAAATCTATTTTTATAATGATTAAATATTTTCACAAATGTTTCATGAGGCCAAAATTCTTTTTTCGACTAATAAAATTCAGGAAATGTTTAATACAGCACATAAAATTATCGAGTATATTAATCTATTTTGTTTTTTCATTGTAGATTTGGCATACGTTGTAATGTTTATAACTATTGTTACCCTCATTATCATGAGCAAGCATGTTGGACCAGGTCTATATTTTCCCATTAGTTTTATAAATGGTACTTTACAAAAACATCAGGTGTCTTCAAATAATATCAGCGAAACTGCAGTTCTAAATATCAATTTAATGGAGACACCAAATACTAAATGGAGAACAAATATCTCTAAAGAATATGCAAAATGGAAATCATCGTCACAGCGGACTAGTGGACACATTCCATCTATAAATGGTATAAATACAAAAATGTCCATGTTGTCCTCTGTTATCAAAACTACAACCCTACCAGCATCCATCAAAACCAATAAGTCAACTGAGTTTTTCTTGTGTGTTAAGTACATAGGAAGACTTGGAAATAACTTATTTCAGTTTGCCTCTGGATATGGAATAGCTGCCTCGAAAGGTATGAAATTAGTTGTAGGAGTAACTGATAAAATTAACAAAATATTTCAAATACAAAACAGTAAAATCATTCATATCAGCAGAAACAAACAGGAGTGTAACAACGCAATATTTCGCAGAGAACATCAAGCGTGTGCTTATGATAAAAATGTCGTAGATTTTAAACCAGATGCAACATATCGTGTAGGACGATATTTACAGTCATGGAAATACTTCCATAATGTGTCAAATGAACTACGAGAAATTCTTAAATTTAGGAATCACATTCAAACAAAAGCAAAAAGGTTAATGGCAAATGTTTTAAGGAAATACAATACTGCTAGAGAGAATGTCACCTTTATAGCTGTCCACGTAAGACGTGGAGACATGGTCGACTCTGGACATGGTTATTTGGTTGCAACCAAGGAGTATTTTGAAAAAGCATTCCAATACTTTAGAAGTTACTCCAGTCCCATTTTTGTTGTTTGCTCCAATGGTCTCACTTGGAGTAAAGCAAATATGCCTAAAAACTTCACGGTCGAATTTATTGACAGAAATTCACCGGAAGAAGATTTGGCTTTAATGGCGTCCTGTGATCACGTGATTTCGTCGGTTGGTTCCTACAGCTGGTGGGCAGGATGGTTCACAAACGGAACAGTTACATACTATAAATGGCCCATTGTCGAAAAATCAAAACGTCGAATTGCGTACAGCTCGGATTTCATGGATTATTTCTACCCACATTGGATAGGTTTATAACATGAACAGATTAGATTTGAGTAATAATGATTGCTTATGTTGCTTGACATTTGATTTATAATGGAAGATTAAATTATTACAAAAATATCATTATAATAAAGTTATTTTAGAATCATAATTTATGGAACGCCGTAACTGCCTTATGTGGAGAACTTTCATTATATGCTGGTACTTTGTCATTATATGATGGTATTTTATCATTATATGATGGTATTTTGTCATTATATGATGGTATTTTATCATTATATGATGGTATTATGTCATTATATGATGGTATTATGTCATTATTTGATGGTATTTTGTCATTATATGATGGTATTTTGTCATCATATGATGGTATTTTGTCATTATATGATGGTATTTTATCATTATATGATGGTACTTTGTCATTATATGATGGTATTTTGTCATTATACTACTTTTCATTATATTACTTTTCATTATACTACTTTTCATTATACTACTTTTCATTATAAGCTACTACTTTTTCGTCATTATTTGAAGTCTCGATCATCCAGACGCTTGTCTATAACACAAATTCGCTGTTCCTAGACTGGCAGTACGAAATCGAGGATTAGACAGGCAAGCCAGTCTAGGTATCGTAACAGTATTTCACTTGGGTTCACGTCAAATCATGTCTGACGCAAAATAATCCAGGAATCTTCCCTTTCGATTCGGGCATTTTGATACGAGAATGGAGCTGATTTTTTATGAGATGAAAAACAACATGTAAACTTCCTGTATTGACCAGATTTATTAAAATTTAGTGCGTGATGATTTTTCTATATACTGTCAAGAGTGGGGAGTGATTAGGCCCTGGACTAGATTTTCAAACTAGGCAATCTTTTTGAAAACTATTACTCAGAAACATTGTTTAATTACCTTGTGCAGTCCCTCTTCCCATGCAAGAAGTACATCAAATGTATGTGAAATAACAGTTTAAAGATAAAATTGTTTCACAGAAAAGATGTAAACGAACAAAAAAAGTGCAATTCTAAGAGATTTATCAATAATTCCATTAAAATGTTGCTAACTTCCATCAGTCCAAATAGCAAACATCATACCAAATTGAAAAAGATAAATTTAGATTGAAAAACATTGAAAATGTCGATAAAAGGGGGTTTGAATCTTTGTCGTCCGCGTGAAAATCCAACATGCTAACCATGACGTCACCAATGCCTCAGAGATAAAAATGACGAATATTTTATAAAACGGTTTTAAAAATTACATATTTTGTATTGTAATCAGACTCTTATCTAACCCTATTAACATCAAAGAAAATAAATAATTAGGAAGAAATGAGATGATTTTTATAAAATAAACTTCCTTGATCAATCAGAGGTGCTGACGACGAATAGAAAGTACATACAAAGCTAGGATCTACTATGATCTATGATCCCGGAAAGTTTGGATGGGATATTTCTTGTCGTTCTCGAGATTATCTTTGTATTAGCAGTCTTTTGGATTCATAAAATTGTCCGGAATTTGGTACGAGAAGTAAATTTTCATTTTTTTTTTTTTCTAAAGTTAATTCTACAATACACATTTGCAGATGCTTTAACAAAAAAAAGATGGAACTCTTAAATTTACTTACATTGTCATGGATCATTTATCAAACTACTTTGTCAAAAAAAGAAAAATTTTTATACATACAAATACTCTTAAGTAGATAGCTTACAGATGCTTTAGTTTCTGATTGACAATTCCTGTGTGGGTTTTGGAGACCACGTTTTCCAAAAATCCACTGAAATTCCCATGGATACCAAATGCGCCCCGTTTTTAAAAGACCTATTTTTGTATTCATATGAAACAGAATATGTTTAAAATCTTTTACGTGAAAAGAAAATATCTTGCTTTGGAATCAACTGAGATATATGAACTGATGAAGATATATTGCTTCATAAGTAAGGGAAGTTGACTATTGAAAGGTTAAAGTCATCAAGTTTATCATAGATCTTGGTTGTTAGATTACCATAAACGTCTTTTTCAAGAAAAATATCCAAATATGAAACAGATGTGTCACACTCTGTGGTATCTGAAGCCAGGATATATTGTATGAAAATTAGAATGGAAATTACCATTGTTAATTGACAATACGTCGTCTATATAACTAAATTTCGAGTTTAAGGCCAAAGCAAGGGATTTTTTTACTTTCATGCATAAGATTTTGGACAAATTCTGCTTAACGTGAATACAAAAATAGGTCTGTTAATGACGGGGCACAATTATTACCCATGGGAGTTCAAATAGATTGTTGGAAGACCTGCTCTCCAAATACAAGGTAGATATTGTCAATCACAACTCAAGCATCGTTTTGATGTGATCATAGAGTACGTGTGTATACAATCAGATTGTTTTTAACAAAATAATTTTGCAAATGACCAAAGACAAGGTAAGTAAACTTAGGAGTTTTATTGCATATTGCAGAAATGCTAGACAGGTCAAAACAAGATAACTCCTACTCTTAGGACTTCATACACAAGCTTAAAGTACACGTGTCTTTCAGTAAACATGATTAAAAAAATTCTGAATACCCAATATTCAGCTCTAAACTGTTTTATTTTTACAGCTTTATATGGAGTTCTTTAATCATAGTGAAGAATCATATCATGTTGTAAAATAAAAAGAATTCTTTTTTATTATTCATATTTTCAAAAACAATGAAAAGGGTAAAGCTAACGAGTGATTAATCTGGGGAAAAAATTAATAAACAATAATTTTCAGTGACTAAAGCACGGACCCTGGATACTCCAGAGTCGGGATTACGTGCCTATAGCAAGGAGGAGTAATCAACCGGTCACACTCTACGTGAACTGTAGGTATGGATCAGGTAGAAGGGACATTCCGTGTCAGATCTATAGTATCTTTTGTTCAGAAACAAATGGAAATAGTCCACACAATGGAGTTCTGTTTTTAAGATAACAAGTCAAATATAAACAAATTCTCACTGATGTAAAATGTAATTGATTTAATATGTGTATGATAGAAAACCTTACCATAGATTCGTGATTATGAAATCTTTACCTAGTATATCAACTTTAAAAAGCAGGCAATAAAAAATATCATAAAGTTAATCCGTCATCAGAAATGTATTGAGTTTTCCAATAAAATACACAACTATTTTTTATCATTTACGTATATTATTCTATTGGTACAACGTCATATAAATACACTGCCAGTCAATTTTAAGAATAAACTAATTAAAAATTTTTTTTTTCAATCTCGAAAGCATCTGTTTTACAAAAGTTATCAGCCATACTCTTTTAACATCATTTTCATCGAATGTTATCAAAAAAAATTAAAAAAGCCAATCCTATCCTCTTAGTATCATATGATATTCAGCTGACCTACTCAACCTGGTGAATGTCCTATCCAAAAACATTAAAATGATGAATTAAGAAAAGAAAAACTACAGCCGAGACGAAACCTAAAGGGTAGGTTGTTGTTTTAAACCAAACACTTTTGGATTTTGATAAAATTTATTTCTTCCCATTGTTATTAGATGCTGGTAGTTAAATGTTGAATTCAAAAGGTATTTGAACTTTGGTCTATGTTACTAACCATCGATTTACTCCGTTGTTGTACAAATTGAATATTTAAACAGATATATTAATGCTACAGGTAATTTAATAGACCAGTAAACTATATTAATTATGTGTATAATTATTTGCAGATGCTAGACACAAAATACTGTATGTGTACTTAAAAAAGCAGGCTTCATATTTTAGCGGCTTTGGCGCAGACGAGGATGCGCTAATTCGTGAATACCGCTAAGAAATCATTTATTTTAATGCAATAAGTATTTTGATACCCCGGTTACCCTTCTACTGGTTAATTTCTTTCCATAATCCTTTCAAAGCTAGAACACCTTATCTTATCCTCCTTCAATGAGTAAACAGTCTGTAAAACAGTTTGTCGTGTGTTGCCACCTTTGTGACGTTTAATAATTTGTTTGAAATTCTCAAAAGTATTATCAATAATGACATATAATTTTTAGCAGACACAAGATATCAAGATAGAAATAAAACCAATTTTGTAAAGGGAGATAATCCAAATTTACAGTAATTACCACTTAGATTTAACAGAAAAATCATGAAAATGGGTCTGAAAACGCTAAAACATAAATTTAAACAACAAAGAATGGTGGAGGCGGGGCGGCAGGAGGTAAATAACAAACTTTGAAACAACGTCCGTCCTCCAAGGATTGGGAGAAAAGGCAGAGTAACGCACCGCATGGTCAGAATTTCATTTGTTAGATTTTAATTGGTCAGATTTTGATTGGTCATTTCACGGTAAGACATGGAACAAAATTAACATTACAAAGCACAGCTATACAGTATTTCACGAATGATTACGCTTAAATTTATTTATTTTAATGCAAAAGTATTTTATGTTACCCTTCTACTGGTTAATTTCTTTCCATAATAGCTAGAACACCTTATTTATCCTCCTTCAATGAAACAGTCTGTAAAACAGTTTGTCGTGTGTTGCCACCTGACGTTTAATAATTTGTTTGAAATTCTCAAAAGTATTATTAATTGACATATAATTTTTAGCAGACACAAGATATCAAGATGAGAAATAAAACCAATTTTGTAAAGGGAAATCCAAATTTACAGTAATTACCACTTAGATTTAACAGAAAAATCATTGGGCTATAACTTGACCGAAAGGGAGAGCCATAAAGGAAAAATAAATGGCAACACACCTCAAACATAAATCATACCAAAAGTGAGTAAAATTTACAAACATGGGAATAAACATATGTCCCGTAAAATTAATAGAATTAAAAGCACGAACATTTGTAGCGTTGATTCATTATTACGCCAACAACTCCATATCCATTGAATGCACTAAATTTTGAGTACGCCAAATTATGTAGACATACAGTATTCACTAAAAATTGTAGACTGAATTTGCTTTGATATGATTTAGTTTGAAAAAATGCCAATACTTTGGGCTATAATAAAAGGAGAGCCTGTGGATAGATTTTGGCTGTTACCGAATCTTTATTGAATAATTCGATGTA